ATTTGAGATAAGATATTGTCCTTTCTCTTATGTTGCTCACAATCAAGTGGAGTTGTTGACACTGGCGTAGAGATTGTAACACCCAATATTACATGCATGGTAAGTTTAGAGAGGTACAAAACATGATGCTATGTATATGGGAGGGAAAGATTGTTATGATAGTTGGGAGTTTACAGATGATTTCTTGAAGGAGCTGACTTTTGAGATAGTCTTCAAAGAATGGATACAGTTTCATTAATGAGAAGAGGGAGCAGGGGGCATTCCAGGGCTAAGAAATCTGAGCAAAAACTTAGAGGTATGAGAATAAGAGAGGTATAAGAGGGGCAAGAGAGTGGTCCAGTTTGGCTGGAGCACAGAGTGCATTGTGGGGAATGATTTGAGATACCCAGAAAGGTATGGTAAGATCAGTTTATTTCTTTTTAGAGGAACAAACTTTTTTTTTACCTGCATTGGTAAACGTTTATATAATTATAGCCAAATATTTGAGATGAGTAGGAGGAATCTGTGTTTACATCTCTTGTGTGGACTGACCAAAAACTATTTTTATAAATGTGAGAATACATTTCCATGCATTTATATTTTAAATTCATCAAACCATTTAATATTGATTGTTCATGTTAAAAAATAACAGAAGATAGCCTTTACTATAAATTCAAACTACTATACTATGCATTAATTGGATCATCTGTACATTATTGTACAAAGTGTTAGTTTGTGTCTTTTGTTTTAAAAAAATGCCCCATCATAGCACTGAGATGAGCCTGAAAATTTACAGATAACAGTGGAGCACATGTTGTAGTAAGACCTATAGTACCAAGGCAGACAAATTTTGAGTCTGGACCTGGCAATAGACTTTATCCAAAGATTGTCTACCTAAAGTCAAAGAGAATCATCACCAGAATTGCTTCAAGGTGATTAACCTTCTCTCTGTACTCCCCCTTCCCCCGGGCACAGTATGTATTAGAGATGTTTGTCAAGTAACAGAGGTGGTAAAGGGAGTATGAACTCTGATGAGATTGTGGATCCTTGAAGGACTGAAAGACTTCCATTTAAAATTTGCATGAATTTCCTTGAAAAACTGATTTTACAATGTACCCTATTTTATGATGTTTAATTCAGTACCTATCTGCTGGCCAAATCCTTAAAAACCTAGTGTATTTAATCAACATGTTTTAGTGACAAGCACTAACACTTCCTCTGAATGGTCAGTGGAAAGTTTTTTGTGTTGTTGTTGTGTTGGCTGTGGTTGCCAATGATGTTTGGAGGGCATTTTTAGGTAATTGAGACCATCTGGATAATTGTATAATTATACAAGGCTACCATGCTTATCTCATCATATTGTTTGGAGAAAGAATGTAATAGGCAGCAAGTGGGATGAAATCAAGAGGGTTTTTCGGTGTGGTCCTGAATGTGTGTGCTTTTTCCTGCTAAGGAAATAGATAGTACCTGAGAGTTACTAAACCGATTAAAGTTGTTTTAGATTGCTTGGACCTAGTATTTTACATCTATTTGCCATGTATTTCCTTTATTACTGACTTCACAGGAAGTCAAGTTACATGAACTTTTGATTTTCATTTTCACATATAAACTAGCCTCTCTACCTGAACTTTTAATGAAGTGTATGTGTCATGGGTTCAGAGGGATTTTGTAATTCAGTTCCTGACTCAGGTGTTATATTACTAACATGATTTCCTGGAAAGACTATTTGCATTCCCTGTTGCTTTAGTCTTAAGAAAAGGGACTAGTTTCATAAATGATACTGAAATTTGCAAAAAGCAAACTGACTTTAAAAAACAACCTAGATTTATTTTCCTAAAATTTAAGGTTATATTTTCTAAAGATTGTTCACAATAAACTTTGTGATAATCCTTTCTGCATTTAAATATTTGTTTTTTTGACCAATCTTCTCTATATAGATAGCATAATAGCATTTATATAGTGCTTTAAGGTTTGGAAAGTGTTTTGTAACTATTAATTCACTTTATTCTCACTGTAATTCTGGGAAGTAGGGCTATTATTATCCTCATTTTACAGACAAAAATACTGAGACATATTTCTAAAATATGTAGAGAAGTGAGTCAAATTTATAAGAACACAACTCATTCCCCAATTGATAAATGGTCGAAGGATATGAACAGGCAGTTTTCAGATGAAGAAATTAAATCTATCTATAATCACATGAAAAAATACTCTCAATCACTGTAGATTAGAGAATTGCAAATCAAAACAACTCTGAGGTACTACATTATACCTATCAGATTGGCTAACATGACAAAACAGGAAAATGAGAAATATTGGAGAAGATGTAGGAAAAATAGAACACTAAGGCAGTGTTGGTGAAGTTGTGAACTGATCCATCCATTCTGGAGAGGAATTTGGAACTATGCCCAAAGAGCTATAAAAGTGTGCATACCATCTTTGACTCAATAATACCACTTCTAGGTCTATATCCCAAAGAGATCATACACATGGGAAAAGATCACACATACACATGTACAAAAATATTTATAGCAACTCTTTTTGTGGTGCCCAAGAATTGGAAATTGAGGGGATGCCCATCAATTGGGGAATAGCTGAACAAGTTGTGGTATATGAATGTAATGGAATACTATTGTTCCATAAGAAATGATGAGCAGGCAAACTTCAGAAAAACCTGGAAAGACTTATATAAACTGATGCTGAGTGAAGTGAGCAGAACCAGGAGAACATTGTGTACATTAATAACAACATTGGGTGATGACTAATTTTGATAGACTTAGCTCTTCTCAGCAATGCAAGGATCTAAGACAACTCCAAAAGACTCATGATGGAAAATGCTGTCCACATCTAGTGAAAGAACTATAGAGTCTGAATGCATATCAAAGCATACTATTTGCTCTCTCTCTCTCGTGGTTCCTCCCATTGGATCTAATTCTTCTTTACAACATGACTTAATGTGAAAATATGTTTAATAGGAATGTATATGTAGAGCCTATGTCAGATTGGAGAGGGGGAAAGGAGACGAGGGAGAAAAATTTAGAACTCAAAATCTTATGGAAGTGAATGTTGAAAACTTAAAATTAATTAATTAAAAAAATACTGAGACAGGTTAAATGACATACCTAGTTTTGTTGCGCAGCCAGTACAAATATGAAGCTCATTTTGAACTCAGATCCTCCTGTCTCTATGTCCAGCACTCTTTTGGCTACCTAGCTGCATCTGATCATATAACCCAATTCTGTTATTGCTAAAAATGCTCTTATCTCTACTGACAAAAAATTAAATACGTCTTTATCACTTTTTGCAAAGCCTTTCTCCTTTACGAGGCCTAAAACTAGTCTTATCTTAGAATTTTTTTCAATGTTTTTAAAACAATGTCTTTTATGGATTCCAAGAAATTAATAACGCCTATGATTGTGTTCTAATTCATAACTTTCACATTTTATGATTAAGAGTAGCTAAGGTCATTAAACAGTGTTTTCAGTCGAATTAGGATACTGTTCTATTTAATAGGTTCATTTTATATGCCTGGCTTTCACCAACTAGTTTCATGGGGTTTTAACACTATTTTGCTAGACTAGAAGCTTAATGACAAGTTTATTAGGCAGCCCAATTCAAAATATCTAAATACGATTACCATCCAGGTAAAGAATGCAAGAGAGAGCACATATGTACAATGTATAAGCCTTGGTAATGTCTGTGAATTACAACAGTACATAAAGAACACTTTTTTTTTGTACTCTGATTACATTAAAACAACATTTATGATGTCCTTGATTAGGGCCAGCAGTAGACATGAACATAGCAGATAGACCTGGTATGATTTGAAAACATTCCTGCTTATAATAATGTATTTCATGGAATGTAAAAGCTGGAAAGAACTTAAGGGATATTTTAGTTCTAACCCCCTTATTATACAGATGAAGAAACTCTGGGGCCAGAGAAGGGGAATGACTTCCATAATCAAGATAGTAACAAACTTGGTAGTTGAACCCAAGTTTTCTGATTTTGAGTTGATTGCTAACTCTTTTATTCTTTACTGCCTTAAAATTTCCCCAGATGACTATCCTCAGTACCTGAAATTACCAATATAAAATTCACTTTTGGGGAATAAGGTCATCTTCAACATTTCACAAGATCATAGGAGTCAAAATTTTAAAAGAATCTTAGAGATTATAGTATGTATCTTCCATTTGACAGATAATAAAATTGAGGGATAGAGAGGGGAAAAGACTTGTCCAGGCATAGAGGTGATATGTAGGAGTACTAGGATTCAAAGCCTGATCCCCTTACTCTAAATCTATTTGGTTTCTCTCTACATTGTTCTGTTTCTCTTATCTCTGTTGATTATTTCCAACTTTCTCTTTTTATCTCATGTGTACCCAGTGGTTTGCATGTTATCTCTCCCTTTCGATTGTGAGCAGGGATTTTTTTTTCCCTTTCTCTGTATCCATAGTACTTAACACAGAACCTAGTACATAGTAGAGGCTTAATAAGTGCTAGTTGATCTGACTGTTGCATGTGTTATATTCCTTCTTTAGATTTTAAGGGTTTTGAGGGCAGATATTGTTTTATCTTTTTGTATCTCTAGCACAAAGACTTGAGTGTGGTATGGGATTTAAAATGTTATTGATTAAATTATTAATTTAACTTTTAATTATTAAATTTAAAAATTAAAATTAAAATTAGTAATTTAATTGATGAAATTATCCAGCTTAATTTAATTTGAAATATATTTTCTTTTTATTACAATATAGTTTAGGAGCCAATTAATATATATGAACTAAGTGATATGATAATTTTACCATTAGAGGGGACATTATAGATCCATGAATCCAACCCCCTCATTTTACAGATGAGGAAGCTATGTGTCAGTTCCATCTGTGAAACACAGTGAAGTCTAGTTACATATTCTTTTCTTCTTGTAGAAGTAAATGACTAGAAGAGAAACCTTGTTCTGATTGAGAAGACAGGGCAAATTGTTCTTAAATGTTTCATTATTTCTGTTTTTGTTTTTGCAGCTGTTGGCCTTGCAGCATGCCAAGAACCAGTACTTCCTAGTAATGGCATCAAAATAGGAGATAGGTACATGGTGAATGATGTTCTCTACTTCCAGTGTGAGCCAGGATACACATTACAGGTACTCTTCTGAATTTCATTTTCATGGGAAGGGCTTATCTTGTCATTAGCTCATTTAACTCTATAGACCATGGAGCCTGGTGGGTGGATTAGCCTAAATAAACTATTGCTCTTTGTCTTTGTTCAATTTTGTAGTTAAAGAATGTGCTATAAATATGGGCAGCTGTTCCACCAATATATGCTCTTTGGCATGAAAGAAAATAGGTCAGAGTGTGTTTAAGTATTCTAAAAACATTTTTCACTTTTTTTTTTGGTGCTTTCTTGTTTTTATATTCGGACATTTACAGGTTACTCTCACCTTATGAGAGGTCTAGTAACAAACTAAAGAAGTTAAGTAAAACTAATAATACATCTAAAAATTCACAAAACATTTCACATCTGTAGCACCTCCTTACCTCTCTATTAAAAAAAACAAATATTTTTTTCCCTCTTCCTATTATACCTGCCTCATTGAAAAAGAAAAGAAAATTTATTGTAACAAATATGCATAGTCAAGCAAAACTAATTCCCCCAGTGGCTATACACAAAAACATATATCTTATTACACATCCTAAATACATTACCTGTTTGTGATGGATAGCATTTTCATCAGTCTTCTGGAACAAAAAATAGTTATTATATTGATCATAGTTCTTGTAGCTTTCAAAGTTGTTTGTTTATATGTACAAAGTTGTCTGTATATACAGATTGTTTTCTGGGTTCTCATTTAATTCATTAGTCACCAAAATCCTCAAAATTGTTTATTTTTATCATTTTGATGTAATAGTATAAATAGTTCTCCTGGTTTTCCTCACTTCACTAGGCATCAGTTCATATGAGTTTTCCCACATCTTTTGGAAATTATTTATTTCCTCATTTCTTACAGGACAACAGAAATTCATTGGCACTACTGAAGAATGAATCGTTTAATAGAATATGTTCTGCCTTATGCCAAATTTAAAGCCCATGTTAAGAAAATCAAGAGATTTTTTGGTATTCATGAAGTTTCTATTCCCCACTTCTAAAACATATTGACACTTAAGATCTATTCTTACACTGACCATTTTTTTTCCAATTTTTTTTTAACAAACAATAATCTCATAGTAATGATCTTAAGAAATTTTAAAGTCATCTTGTATCAGCATTTCCAAAAAAAGTTAATTTCATAGTAAAGAACATAATTATTGGAAAGTTAATTAATATTAATAATTCATTTTAAAAAGTCAAGACTATTAAAGGAAATAAAGAAAAAATATTAGCGAAGGAGGTTTAGCAGCACCAGGTCTTAAATTGCAGTATAAGGCAATAATTATCAAACTATCTGATACTGGCTAAGAAATAGAAAGGTAGGTTAATGGAATACAGAAGACTAGAATTTACAGCAGGAAATAAGCATAGTAATCTATTAACATGATTTTTGCAAACTTTTTTTCCCCTCTCATGAGAGAGACTCTCATGTCCTTAGAAAACAAATAACAAAAGGTTCTTTAGAGAGAGTATTTCATGTAACAAATTGTTTAATATGCCATTTCCAGGGAAAGGCCTGTGGACTCACACCTGCAAACCCCAAACAGGCTATTTACTAGCACTGTTGAAATGCAAACTGGGCTATTTTTCCCTTCAACTCAGACTCTGAGTTCACAAGCTGTTGCTTTCATTAGAATGAACATAAAGGATTCTGAGTTTTTCCCCCCTTAATTGCAGACATTTGGGAGCTTAAACTTAGAAATTAATGCATTCAAAATGATACTGTGTGCAAAAATAAAGCATGTTTTATCCGTGAGTCTTATTTTCCTTTCAATATTAACTTTCACATCAATTTTCTTTTTTTTTTCTTTTCCTTTTTTTGGACTGGACTTGTGATTTTTATCCTGTGGGGAATTCTGGTGTGAAAAATCCATCTACAAATGTAGATGAGCAGCTCATCTGCAACTTAATAGGGCCCCTAAAAGGTTAAGGGACTTGCCCAGGTTCAAGTAGTTCACATGTTCCAGAGGCAGGATTTGAACTTTCCTGAGGTCATGCCCTAGGACAGCCAAAGCCAGCTTTCTCTTCATTATACAGCACTGCTTTCTCCCCTGTCAATGCCTGCAGGAACAAAAAGGGGGTGTAGAGCATGTCCAATGTTGTTCATTAGGTTTTAAAGGCCCAAAATCCCTTTACTGATATAGGATAAAATACTGATTGAAAACCTGATTCCTATCTTCACATTCTTTAAAATGAGTTTACCTAATTTCTATAGGCATGAAAATATTTTAGTCACATTTAAGCAAAGAAAAGAAGTTGATTTTCTGTTGTAGAAATATGCTGACTAAATTCTAGTCTTCCTTCAAAAAATGATAGCAGACATTCTCTTTTGGGAAGTGATAAACTATAAAAAAATTACAAGGTCATATTATTTATCCAAGATATTTAGGTAAAATCATAGGAACATATGTCCATAGCAAAATCAATAGCAGACTTTGAACTGGATTCATGATAACTGAACATTTTATTGTTGTTTTCCAGCAGAGGTCTTTTAAAAGCTTTTGTTCTACTTGGTCAAGTTATATGTCTCTGTAATTCACTGGAAAATGTTACTGTACAACTTTTTCTAAGGCAGCCAGCATGTGCCTAGGATTTCACTCAGGGACAATTCATAGTGTAATCTTACCACGTATGTATCTGTTCATTTAATTTTTGCTGAAACAACATTAAAAATAAGTTGAGTGTGAAGATTGGCTAGCCAAGCTTAGGAAACCCATTTGTCATTGATAACCTTAGTATCCCAACATCACAACAACAAATATATCTAGGATTATTTAACAGCAGCTAAAGATTTATTTTTCAATTGTATTTACATGTGGCATATGAAAATTTATAACTTAAATAAGCATTGTAGATAAATTATATTATGGAGAAAAAATCAGAACAAAAGTGATAGTCAATTAAAACAATTGATTGAAAATTAACTATTTTTCTTCTATTACCTTCTCTTTTGTTGTAAAACAGATCATTGACACAAAAAGAAGCCTTGCAATTTGATCCTATGCTTTAAGAAAATACCAAATAATCAGTGGAATAGACTTTTAAAAGCTACCATAGTTTCCATATGCCCAGAGAACTGAGAGAGAAGCAGGAGACAGAGACAGAATAGAAACAGAAACTGAGAGACCTCCATTGATCAGAAGGCATTTCCTTACAGTTTTGCAGTTGCTTGATTTGACAATAATCATTGGTTCTAACTTTTTCAGACCAAAAAAAAAACCCAAAACCAGCCAACCAAACATATAAACAAACAAACAAAAAAACCACCAAAAAACCTTAGTTCCAGTGAATTCTACTTAATGCAATTAGTTACTTGCTTTATAGATTGATGAAATACTGACATTTTACCTGTCAACCATTACTGAGTTCGTTCTTAGAAAGACAAAATTAGTTTGAATATGAGTGTTTATTTCTCTCAAAGTTTGCAAAACATGCATATAGAGATACTCATGGGAGCTCATTGTGAGACAACAAACCCAAAGATGGACAAAGGATTTTTATATGTTCGTAGCAATCCCTATCACCCCTCCCTCCCTTCCTGGCTCAGTATGCCTATGTCAACCAAAATTATGGTCTCCAAATATTTACCCATGATATGAAAAATGAATTTCTCAAGTGATTATATTGTAAATACAATAAGATAGGAGAATGTCAAAATGTCAATTGAAATGATAGATCCAGGATATCTGTGTTTCCTTTACCATTAACATGACATAACGTAGCATGTATCCATAAAATACCAAGATAAGAAAAGGCTCATTATTCTAGGTAGTGTCTGGGTCAAGGCACCTTAGTGGTCATAAACAGAAAAATCCTCTTGGTCACCTTCAGCTATTGACACAGGAAGGGGCATTGTTAGTTCACTCAGAGAGCAGAACAATGCTTGTCCAGAGTACTCAAAGCATTATGGTAAATTAAGCCTAGAGTGAACTGAAAGGTCTCTCCCTGATTGGCCAATCCAGGTTTAAGCCTTTTTCAGGTGTTGGATCAAAATGGTTTGGAAAGGGGTCTACATACCCTTCTAATCAGCTGAGTATATTAGATAATTTTCTTTTCCTCAACTGTTAATAAACTGAGATGATGTACCTAATAACTTAGTTTTGTCTCATTAAAATATTCCATCCTAAACAGTAGAAAAATATGCTAATTATTTTTTACTTAAAGTTGAAATGAAAGATTTGTCTTAGAAATTACAGGTGCAATTTTATGGATGGGGGAGAGTTTTTTTCTATTTAAATTTTTCAAAGTATTAAATTAATTTTCTTTTAAACAGGGTCGTTCTCATATTTCTTGTATGCCAGGAACAGTTCGACGGTGGAATTATCCATCTCCCCTTTGCATTGGTAAGATTACGTATTCTGCATTTTGGTGTAGGAATATGTTCCTAAAAAAGCAAACTGAGGAAACTAAATTATAGCTCAGAAAGTTATTTAGCATAGGCTCAGAAAATAGGTGCTAATTTAAGAACCTTATAAAATATATATTGTGCATAAAATTCTTTTCTAGGCCCTGCCAGGAGTATCACAGTTATCAGATGTGGTCCCTATCTTCATAGAACTTTAGTAGAAAAATGTCACAAACACAGATTATTACCACACAAAATATTGAATGATAAGTGTGTTAGAGAAGTTTACTACAAAATGCTATGTGAGGTCCAATGAGGGAGTTAATTACTGATAAGAAGATAAAGATGGCTTTTGAATTAGGCTTCAGAGGATAACTGAAAATTCAGTAGGTAAAGGAGGAGGGAAATCCCACACACAGGAAATAGTTTGAGCAGAGGCCTGGAGACAGTAATATACTTTCCATTAATCTCTTATTCGTTTTAAAATCATTAGCTTCTTCCATTCCCTGAATCTATCTTGTATTTATTCTGGATGTATCTTCTATGTATATGTATATAATGTGTGTGTGTGTGTGTGTAATCTTCCTTGATAGAATGTAAGCTCCTTGAGTGTCAAGACTGATTCATCTTTTTTTTTTTCTCTGTGTATCCTCAGGGTGTAGTACAGAGTGACAAATAATAGGCATCTAATATATATCCAAAGTGGCAGATCTTAAATGAAAGCTTTCTTAATGCTCTGTTATTAATTTTTTTCTTTCTTTCTTTTAATTATTATATATTAACTTGTCTAGTGTCTTTGTTTTGCTTTTTTTTGTTTTTGTATTTTTAATAAATCTTTGGTGGAATGTGTACTCTGTAGAAATAGGGACTATTTTTCATTGAAACATAGACAATAAAAATGTATTAAGTACCTCCTATGTTTAATAAATACTTTTTGAAAGGAATCGAATTAAATTAATCATTACGGTACCTAAGAATGATTATTTGATCACTGATGGAGAAGATAGAATGTGGAAGTTATAGCCTTAAAGCAGGAAGATCAGTAGTTTAATATATTCTCAATAGTAAAAGATGATGTTACACTTCTTTCTGTTAATGCATGTCATTATTCTTACATGTTTAACATTTTTTTTCTGAGTAGGCATAAAGTACCTGTCCTATATCTGGACAAAAACAAGCAAACGAAAAGAATAGCTAAAAGAGACTTAATCTGAGTATATATGATTAAAATGGAGAGAAAGGGCCTGACGGAGAAGATAGCAAAAAGGTAGAAATGACAAGACAACTTATTTAATGAGTGTAGAGGACATGTTGCAAGAACTATAGATGGACTCCAAGGTTATGAACGTGGGTGACAGAGATGATTGATGCTTCCGTTAGCATTAGAGGCCACTAGAGCAATGAGCACCTGGAAAGACCTAGTACTTTCCCAGCTTTTCTATGGTCCCTCAGAACAAAACAAAATTTTCCCCTGAGGAATTTTTTCTCTGCCTTACAACAAGCACAGGAACAGGATCATTATATTTATTTTAATTTACATTTTAAAGAAATTACATTTAGGAAGCAGAACACCTAATTGACTTGTTAATTTTGAAATGGAAACACTTTTCAACAAACATTCCTAGATTTTAATTCAGCTTTCAAATTTTATAAAAAAGCTGTAGTTTGGTTGTTATATACACTTAATGTCAAAGCAAATTTGATTTTCATGAATGTTTATTTAAATGCACTGTGCACTAGCAAATTATAGCTTAGGAATAATCATCTTTGATGAAAACCATTTGCTCATAACACCTATAGCATATAGAAATGTTATGGAAGATGAGAATGTTAAGTGATTGCAATTCTGGATGTAAGACGTGATAATTCATGGGAAAGCTAACAAATGTTAGTCTACACATTGAGTCACCAATATATAGTAAGAGAAAGCAACTACTTTGTGCTCATTTTTTTATATCACCTGCCTCACAAAGTGGTTGTGAACATAAAATGGGATTATGAATGCAAGGCCTTTTGCAAACATTGAAGTGCTACATATAAATGCGAGCAAATATTGTCATATACTTTTTGCCTATGCTCACCATAGAAACAGATTTAAAACTTAAAGGGTCATTAGGTATCATTTACTTCAAACCTCCCATATTTTACATATTTAGAAACTGAGGCTAAGAGAGGTTAAGTGACTTGCCCAAGGTAACCCAGGTCCTTTGATCTTAATTCTACACCTTTTTCCACTGTTCCATGAATATTGCAAGGCAAAATGACCATGTCCTAAGAAATGTTTATTCTTGCCCTTCTTGTTAAAACCAAGTCTTCCACATCCTTTATTCACTTCCTTGATGAAAATCTGTGAACCATCATTCAATACAGTTAGAAATTTGTCTCATTCACTTATACTGAGAATGCCACTGTGGATACATATATGTGTGTATGTATATATACATATATGTATATGTGCACATACACATATACATACATTTGCATATAATATATAATGCATGTATACATGCTTACAAAGTAGTTAAATGCAAGGTAGTTTGGAAGGGAGGGCACTAGCAGTTAGGAAAGGCTTTATGCAAAAGATGGTATTTGAGTGTCAGCTCAAAGGAAGAAATGGACTCTAGAAGGTATAGGTAAGAAAGGAAAACATTCCAAGGTGATGGCCAGTGCTAAAGTAAATTGAGTGTCTTGAGCAAGGAACAGAAAGAAGTCTAGTTTGGCTGGATTGCAGAGTGATGGAGTAATGTCCAGTGAAGGTGGAAAGGCATCTTAAGGCCAGGTTATGTAGGACTTTAAATGCTAAACAGGTGACTATATTTTATTTTAAAATTAATAGAAAACCACTAGAGCTTGTTGTTCAGGACTTCTTTGTCACACAGTTCATAGAATGCTTGGCTTGGAGTTAGGGTGACCTGAGTTCAAATCCTGCCTCAGACACTTACTAGATATAAGACCGTGGCCAAATCATTTAATCATTTTTCAGCCCTGGTTTACTTATTTGTTTACTAACTTACCTTGCAAGGTTGTATGAAGATAAAATGAAATAACATGTATAGGACTTCTTGAACCTTCAAATACTATATAAATATGAGCTATTGTTGTTGTTGTTGTTGTTCTTATGGAAATCATATAGTTAAATCTGCACTTAAGGAAATGTATTTGACAGCTGTGTGTAGAATGGCTGAGAGTAGGTAGAGACTTGAAGAGGGTAGACCAATTAAGAGGCTGCTAAAATAATTAGAAAAAAAAGAGTTGATAAGGGCCTGAACTAGTAGCTGTGTGAATGGAGCAAAAGAATCAGATATGAAAAAGGTTATGATATGGCAATTGAATGGATAGTTATCAGAGCAGTTTATAATTAGTGATTTGTGATTTGATTGGTATATAAACTCCTTCCATCAATACAGATTAGCAACTGTTCTGCAAATTATAGTTTTAATGAGCTGACTAGTGCACTAAGAGAATAAGTTGCTCACCCAGGGTCACCAAACCAATAGGGGTCAGAGATTGGACTTGAACCCTGGTTTCCTTGTCTCTAATGCTGGCCCTCTATCCACTGTGCCATCCTAGCATTCATTAGATAAAGTTTATCACATTGCCTCAATTAATGCTACATGAATCCTACTTTTTAATAGGATACCTCATACATGCTGTATCATGTAAGTTTTATTTATGTTATGTCGTGGCATCTATGTCATATCATATCACTTATTTCTTCACAAAATAATATGAAAATTATTAACCAAATGTAGTTCAGACAAAGCAAAATCTTGATGTCCTTTATAAATATACATTAGAGACAAATGTGAAAGAATATTGTCCCAATGTCAAAAGAAATTTGAATCCCACCTTTGACACTATTTGTATAACCTTAGGCAAATCATATAGCATCATCTGTAAAATGAAAGTGTGAAATTAAATGATTCTATGTTCTTAAGAACTCTTGAAAAGCTGCGTATTACATAAGGGTAGGAAAAGTTGTTATCAGATGTCTATGTCAGGAAAAATATGAGCCTATCAATGTTGGACAGCCCATGTCATTCACTGGCATTTAAACAATATGAAGATATCTAGATGAAGAATGCCAGTATATTAGGTGTATTCCCTCTGAAGAGAGGACTGGCAGGCATTGTTTTTATAGACATATGTTTTTACACATATTTATTACCTTCTTTATTATAAAATCATTTAGGGCAAGAATTATGCCCCATGTGTATTTGCTTTCCGAGCTGTGGCTAGCAAATTGGCTTGTGCATTGTGTACGCTAAAACATTTGATGATGTCAATCAACACTAATTTATTAAGTGCCTGCCATGTTCCAAGTACTTTGCTAAGCACTGAGGTTACAAAGACAAAATAAAAATTCCTAACCTCTGGAGCTTATATAGTAGAAAATAAATTTTAAAGTGAATCTTTTAATTTTCAATGTAGTCATCCTGGTAAAAATATATGCTTATTTCCGTTAGGAAAACATTAGAGCGCTATGCAAATACAAGCTTGTGTTATTATCATACAGCTACATAGCTCAAAACAGTTTCTCTTTAATGCAATTCTATGAGTAACAAAAGAAAATTAATTTTTGTCTTTGTAATAATAATAATTGAAAAAAGGTGCTACCCAACTTTGTTAAGGATATTTGCCAGATTCAATACCAAATGAGACTTTTAGCTAATTCCAGAAATTAAACCCAGCTTCACAGAATGAAGTTTTGTCATTATTGAGGATACTCCTATCAAAGATCATCCTATAAGCTCTGAAGGCATTTCCAAAAGAGGGTATTCAAAATGGTTTTGCTCTATGATGGCATTCTTTTAATATGTGTACAACTTCTAGGTGCCTGCTGTGAAAGAGGCAACATTTATTTGTATATACTGTTCTTTTTTTTTAATAGTAACTTTGTGTGGCTCTAAAAACACAAGCAAATAAGTGAAGAACAGAGACAGATACTTATAACCTAGCCTACTATCCAAACCGAATCACTACTTTTCTCATGCCCACCTCAATTCTAGTGGATTTAAGTTGATCTGTAATCCCACCAGTGGGGATTCTTCTTCCATTGGTGTGAATCACATGCCATTCCATCAGCTTTTGCACAGTCTATACAGCCCATGGCCGGAATATACTCCCTCCTCGCCTCTTCTTCTTAGAATCTCTAGTTTTCTTTAAAGTTAACTCTCAGCTCCTAATCCCCCAACCTCTAAAGTAATTACTTTGTGTTTGTGTGTATATCTGTGTGTGTGTGTGTGTGTGTGTGTGTGTGTATACACACACACACACACATATCTATGTGTCTATGCATATAGAAACATGTATGTATAAACACGTTTGTTTTTGTATGTGTTGTCTGTCCTGAAAGAATGTAAGCTCCTTGAGGGAACAACAGAGTGTTCCATTTTTTTTTCCTTTGGATCTCGATTGCTGAGTCCAATTGCAGGAATGTGTAAGCATTTAGTAAATACTTATTGATTGTTTTATTGATTGATTTCAATCTATTCATAGCTTTTTATGCTGGCTATCTTATGCATGCCTTTCTATTAAAGGCTTCTGTAGAGTATCCAACTAATGTTTGATCTAACCTTTCTCTGTCTCTTTTAATATTTTAGGGATGCTGTTAGAGTAATTAGACTATTTACTTTTTTGTCCCTCATTTATGTGTGGCCTAGACCACTTCCTTTTCTGCTCATGCACAAACTTGAAAATGTCTTTCATGACAATTCTTAAACTTGGGCTGATTAAGACATAAAGAGTGTTATAATTCTGAATTATCAAAGCCAACCAGTCTCTGAATTCCAAAATACAGGCTAATTGAAATTTCAAATCTACTACTTACCAACCAAAATTCACCTTTTGTTTCTGTCATTTTAATGCTTATCTGTATTTAGTGTAATATAGTAAAATATATTGCTTTTCACATATTCTGAAAAATAATTATACACAGATGACCCACAAATATCACTGTCCATTTAACAGCAAAATGTGGTGGAACACTGAACAGCATGACTGGAGTGATCTTGAGTCCAGGTTTTCCAGGAGCTTACCCCAACAATTTAGATTGTACCTGGAAGATCTCATTGCCGATTGGTTATGGTAAGTAAAACTATTTTATTTTAATAGGATAGAATTCAATTTTTCAACTACTAAATGTAGAACAGTAAACTAGAAAGAAAAATATGCCTTATGCTTTTGTCTTTTTAATCAAGAATTAAAATGAAGCTTTAACATAATTTTTTTAAATATTCAGGAAATACATTAGTTGAAAAAAATTCAATTGAGCTCAGAAACTTTAAAAGCAATTTGAATCATTTGAATGATAGTATAGGAGGCAGATAAAATATAAACTGCATTATTCCTTTTTAAAATATATTTTTATTTATTTCATTAAATATATTCCAGTTACATGTAAAAAATTCAACAACATAATAAACTTTTGCAATTATTTCTTTAAAATATGGGTAAATAATGTCTCCAGTGTTTTCCCGATGTACCTTGTAATAACCATATCCCAAAGGGAAAAAAAATGCAATGAGTCCCGGTTGATTCTTTTGGATCACTATTGTCCTTTTAGATGCATATTAGTTATCCCTTTAATAATGCATTCTAGAATTTTTGTCAAGAATTAAAGTCAAATTGAATGGCTTATAGTTTACAGATTCACTCCTCTCTACCCCCCTTTAAAACAATGGTACATTTATACTTTTTCCATCCTATGACACCTCCTCTATTCCCCAAATCTTTCAAAGAGAACTGAAAGTTGCTTAGATACTTTCCAAGGTTTTTCCAACTCTGAATTATTAGGGCTTTAAGTAGGTGAAGCATTTCTCATTCATTTCCATCTCCCTTTTCTATCCTCTATTACCAACTTCCAGAATCCCTTTCCTTGAAGATTTGCACTATTTTTTTGCAACCTGGTTCCCTTCTGTCAGAAAGGAAGGAGATCTAGTAAACTAAATCTCAATAAGAGATCTGTTGTCTGATCAGTCTATGTGTCCTAAAAATAAAATTTTATTTTATTGAGGAGCAAAATATTTATGAACTCAGTTATTCTGTAGTCTAATATAAAAACACTAACATAGTGTCAGTAAGATAATGAAAAAAGACTGTCAAGAAAATGAGTATGACAAAGAGGTTGCTTCCAATAAGTAAACAAAATCATAAAGAAGCGGTGTGCCAGTGCTGAAAGGACAGACTAGTGTTAAGTGGTGACACATCATAGATTTCCTATCCATCTCTTCTTGTTGCCCTCCTTTTGTAAGGATGCATTAAGATATAGGGGTGGGTTATCCTAAAAGAAGATGTCAGGAAAAGGGCTGGACTTAATTCAAATGACAATATCTATAGAGGTGTAAGTCATGGAATACTAGAATCTGTAAAGAATAAAATTTATGGGTGGCTCAAAGGGCAATGTAAAGCTATATTGTGAGCATAAGCTGGCTGAAGGATATTATCAGTGATTTAATGAATGGTAATTCAATAAATACTTATTAAGCACCTATTGTGTGCCCTGCATTAAGCTAGACATAGAGAATACCAGGACATAAATGAAATTGTCCTTGCCCTCAAGCTTATTTTCTTTGGCAGAAACAACATTCATAGAAAAATAAGTGCAAAACCTATTTAAATTAGATACCAAGCAATTTTGAGAGGGGAGAGAACTAGTAAACTGATGGCATCTGGTTAGGGTTCCTCTACGAGTTGGTACTGAACTGAACCTTGAAGGAAAGAGAGGTGAGAAAGAAGTGCGTATCAGGCATGGAGGAAAAGCTATGAAAAAAAAATTGAGGAGTAGAAGTGTTTTGTACAAGGAGGTATAAGTAAGCCAGTTTGGTTCTAACATAGAATACATGAACAGAGTAATGTTCATAATTTGAAGGATAGAATAGAGCCAGAATATGAAGTATTTTATAAACTTAACAGATGAGATTATATTTTATTTTAGAGGCAAAAAGGAGCCACTATTGTAATTTCTTGAGAAGGTGAATGTTATGGGTGGGTCTGTACTTTAAGACTATAAGCTTGGCAGTCATGTGTAGGATGGATTGGAGAAGATATACTAGAGAAAGAGAACCTTGTTAGGAGAATATTGTCAAGGGGAGAGGTTCCAAACAACTAAAACAGAGTGATGGAAGTTAGAATGAAGGGTTATGACAGATATTGTGGAAAAAAATCATTAGGATGTGTCAAATGATTGGATTTGATAGTTAAATGAGAATTGTGAGTCAAGGATGATCAGTGGGTGAGGAACTTACTTGACTAGAAAGGTGGTGGTGTTAACAATAGATATAAGGAATTCTGGAAGAAAAAAGAGTTTTGGAGGAAAGAAAATTAATTATCTTTTTGTAAATTTTGGAGGAAAGAAAATTAATTATCTTTTGCAGATGTTGAATTTGAGATGCTTATTGGGTAGCCAGTTGAAGATGTCCTCAAGACAAATGGTGCTATAGGATTGATGCTCAGTGATGATTTATGCAAAATAAATAATGTAAATGATATCATGAAAAATGTTTATTTTAAGGAAAATGAGGTGTTCATGTGACAAAAGTAAGGAATAACACATGGATGGTTTAATTTCTAGACTTAGAGGAAGGCTTTGAGTACATTGGGTAGATACTGGGTAGATCCATTTGGAAGCTTCATGGAAGGACATTGATAAGAATAATTTAGAGTGAGAAAGTGTGGGTAGGTTGTGATTGGTGGCGGGAGTGTTCTCCTTGAAAAGGTCATTGAAGAATGGAGAAGTAAGCCTATTGGTAACTACATCTTTTTTGTAATCATTCCAGAGTCAATATTTCCCCATTCTGGAACTCCTAAAATCATAATTACTCTTCCTATAACTAAGAGTCTAAAAATAATATTTAGTGTCTTGGAAAAAAAAAGTCACCCTCAGAGTTGAAGTTTCTTTCACCAGTGGCAAAAGCAGTTGGTTTATGGGTATTTCTAGTATGTTTTGACCTCTATGAGAGCAGAGTCTGTATTTAAAACTCAAGTCCACACTTGTTAAGCACCTCCTAAGTTCATGTGGTGTAGATTTTTTTAAAATGCACATTTTCAAGGCATTTACTATGGAAAGAAAAATCAAACCTTTACATTTATATAGCAGTTTAAGGTTTAACAAGATTTTTACTTGGAACAGCTTTGTTATACTGGTATTATAATTATTACATAAGACAATTTTACAGGTGAAGAGATGGAGGCTCAGTCAGGTTAAATGATGTGGCCAGGCTCATATGATGTTAAGTGAGTGAGCCTGACATTTAAATCTCGGCCTTTGTTAATTCCACATTCTTTCATTTACCACACTGCCTTTCACACTGTCTTCATGAAAGTTTTATATTCTTTAGTGGCTAAAACAATAATTTTCACACAATATGTACTTAATTATAGAATGAATAAATTGCTCTTCTGGAAATGTGACAAGTTTCTCTTGTCCCTGGGTGCTATAATTTCTAATATTCATATAGCACTTAAACATTAACAAAGTGTTTTACATACATTATTTAATTTGATCCTTGTAACAACCCTGAGTTTTGGGAAATGGGAGAAAGTGCTTTATGACAACACTCGGCAAAAACCTGAAAATTGCAGGAATAGACAAGTGGTAAGGGAAAAGCACTCAGTTTCAGAAGACTGAAAAACTTGGATATAAGAACTATAGTAATCTTCCTCAATTTGATTTTGGAACTTTATATGTTAGAGAAAATTTCTTATAACTCATAGAAATTAGAACTGGAGAGGACCTTAGAGATCAATTAGTCCAACCTCCTTATTTTGTGCTGAGGAAGAAAGCAAGGCCTAGATCAAGGAAAACTTTTCCAAGGTCATACAGTTAGTGTCACAGCACAGATTCTAAGAAGGTCTTCAGATACCAATACTTTTTCCATTGCATCATGTAGTAAGAACATGAGAGGATACGTTTAATATAAGTAAGAAGCAGTAATGACTTAAGCCTTTTTTTTAGATTATTGAAAAATATTTGCATCTTTTATACAATATCTCTTGGTAATCTCATCAACCTCATAGGTTCAATTGCAATTTCTATACAGATATTTCCCGTATCTACAGAATTGCCCCAATCCTTCTCCTGAGCTTTAATCTCGAGGCAGCTCTGTGGCACAGTGGATAGAGTATTAGGCCTAAAGTTAAGAAGACTTGAATTCAAATGTGACTTCATATACTTACTAGCTGTGTGCCCCAGGACAAGTCATTTAAACTATCTGCATTTGTTTCCTCAATTGAAAAATGGGGATCATAATAGCACCTATTCATCACAGACAGGGTTGTTGTGAGGATCAAATAAGATAATATTTGTAAAGTGCTTAGCACAGTTCCTGGTACATTGTAGGCACTTCATAAATGTTTGTTTCCTTCATTGCAGTACAGCATCACCAACTATCTTTGGTTTATTTGAAACTGGGTGTTCCATAAAACTCATTATATACAAAATAATTTGTTCTCTTTCCCTGTTTACTATCAGTCTTTCCAATTCTTTTATTACTGTTGAAGACACGATTATCTTCCCAGTCACCCAGACTCACAATCCAGGTGTTATTCTGGTTTCTTTACTATCCCCTTACACCTCTCATAATCTATTTGTTGGTACATCTTGTCGTTTCTTCCTTTACAGTATTGCGTATCAACTATTCCTCAATTCATACAGCTACCACCCTGGTACAAAGGGTCATCACCTCTTGCCTAGATTATAGCAATAGCCTTCTAATTGTACTTCAAGTCTCTTCCTACTCCAATTGATCCTCCAGCCAGCTGCTAACATAATCTTTGTAAAGCAGTTCTGATAACATCATCTTCCCCTCCCCCTAATACCACCCAACATAATAAACTCCAATGGCTTCCTACTACCCCAGCAGCAAATATAAAATGCTCTCCTTGGAATTTTTTAAAAATTATTTTATTTTTAATTTATGGAATAAAACAAGCATTTCCATAGCATAGTACAATAAAAAAAATGCACATGAAACTGCATATCTACTGTACACAACTTGCTATTCCTTTCAAATAAACAACAAAAGTATCATGTAAATTTCTTTTCTTTCCTTTTTTTTCTCCCCCCCGCAGAGATGGCTACTGTTAAA